GGGGCGGGGCAGGGCGGGGCGGCCAGGGTCCTGGTCCCGTTTTCGAACGCAAGCATGCCCATACCATACGCGTGTCAGGGGAGCCACTTTCACCTTGCCACTGGCCCCTTGGGGACGTAATGTGTGAGTGGGAGACTAAGATGCAGAGAGGTAGGGAGAAAGAAGGAGAGGAAGAGAGACAGAGAGAGACAGAGAGGAAGAGATAAAAGGGGGGGGGGGCTCAGGTGATGCTCCCTTATTACTTCGCACCGCTTGGTGCCCACCCGACTGCCCACTGAGCAAGGTGCTGCAGCAGCATTTTCGCGTGCGGCGAGATTATTTTGTTTCTTCTTTGCTTCTTTCCACTCGCTCAGCAGCAGGGCCGACGAAGAGTGAAGGTAATTGGACTTGCAATAAGAACAATAAGGTAATTTATTTTATTCCATTTTCATCTTCATGCCTTATTTTTTTCAAAGTCTTACCTTCTCGTCGTGTTTGTTTCGGGAGAAATGCCGGTGACGCGAAGAGGCGTCGCTGCCCGGCCCTGCAGCTTTCCCGCCACCGCCTGCCTGTGTGTGCGGGTCGAGGACACCGCGGCGGGAGTCCGCGGGTGACGCTCTGGTGGTGGAGGGGACCGGCGAGGGGGGCAAGCCGAAGCTGATTAACACAACAACCCCGCACCCCGCCGCGGCCACTCACCCGCGCTAAGTAGTACTGAACACGATGAAAACGAAAGCAGCACAGCTTGCCTTTTCGGTCCCGACCAGTCCCCCGCGCGCGCCGCCGAGGGCCAGCTGGAGGGGCAAGCAAGGCGACTCTTTACTTTTGAACAGCAGCAGCAGTTCGCAGAGCGTTTTCTCCTTCTCGGCTGCTATGCTCGCGGTCCAAAACAGTTGGTTTTACCTCCGAGTCCTGAATGCACTCTGGAGCCGCGGGGGTCGTCCACCAGGCTCCTATAGGCTTGGACGCCGCGGTACGCACACCGGCTGCGGCGGTCACGTTGCTTTCCACTCGTCCCGGCCCTGTCCACCCACTACCCACGTCTGTCGAGCCGAGCCGAGCAGAGCAGAGCAGAGCAGAGCAGAGCAGAGCAGAGCAGAGCAGAGCAGAGCAGAGCCCAGCCGGGTCGAACACAATGTGTAGGGCCCGGCTAAGCCGAGTCGAGCCGGTCCTGGCCGCCGGGCTGGACCAAAGCGTAGTAAAGCTTGAATAGCTAAGAGAAAGAGAGGGAGAGAGAAATAGGGAGAGAGGAAGAGAGAGGGAGAGAGAAGCTGTGCTCTGCACCGCACCACACGAGGAATGAGGACAGTCAGTCATCATATTCCAAAGTAATGTCCGTCCTGCATAGGAGGCTCTGCGAAGCCCACTACTGCGGCTCCTCGGCGGAACGCAGTGGTGGACAATGGGTCGCTGTGTTATTTTCTGAACGATGGAAGAAAAACATTACGGGAATGATTTGGTGTTTGTTTTACATCATGGCAGACTTCTCTTCCCTTTATTCACATTTACATTCGTATAAATATTGACTAAAAAGAATACTGTTTTCATGCGATGGGTCGTTTCCCCAAGTTCTTTGTGGGGTCGTTACAACAAAACTTTCTCTCAAATAAAACACGCGAATAAATACAGACACACACTCATGCATACACACGCACACACATTATTCATATACAAATATACAACTTAAAACATTATATTTTGAACGCAATGAAAGCAATGTCAACGGTCCTATGGCACCGTGTAAAACAATGAGGTCTGAATGGACGGGGCCGCAACAAACGCACCAATGCGCGCTCGCCCACTGTTTGATGTAAATAAATCTCTTGCTGCGGCCGGCGGCCGTCCCTCCGACCCCGGGCAGACCGGCGCGGAGACAATGGGGGACCGCCGGCTGCTCGACGACTAGTGATTCCGAGAGTCATATCTGAGCGATGAGGCGGGCCGAGCTAGGCCACGACCTCAATGGTAACCTGGTAACCGAGCTACCCGCTCAACGGTAATCATATGCTACTCGCTCAAATGTAACCAAGCTACTCTCTAATGGTAACCAAGCTACCCCCTCAATGGAAAGCAAGCTACCCCATCGATGGTACCTCACGATCTGTGTCCTTGCCGCTCCACACTCGTGCTGGTGGGATCACCATGTGTCCCTTAGTCAGCCGCAGGCCACTTTTTGGTGATTGTTATTTTGCTCCAAGTCGGAGATTCCTGCGAGGCGCGTGGCGGGGAGTGGCGGGCTATCTCCGCCATCAGCTGTAGGAGCCCGAGTAGAGGGCCGGGCCCAACTGGGGATCCCACTGCTGGCCGTCCCACAGGGGGGCCCACCGGGACACGGTTGGGGCGTGGGCCGGGCCGGCGGGGCCGCCCGCGCGCCGGTGGTGGTAGTAGGCGGGGTGCTCGGCGTGCTCCGGCTCGTAGTAGACGCCGCCGTCGTCGTGCGCGGGGCCCTGGGGGCAGAGAGAGAGAGAAAGACGCATTAGCAGGGGGAAACTGCAGCTGAACAATGTAGCTGTGTCTTAAATACTACCACAACCACAGCCACTTAATGTTCAGTTGGGCTAGGACCTGATTTCGGACCCTTGCTCCGGCGGTCAACCAGTTTAGCAGCCTTTCCTTGTTAAATAAATGCCCCTTCTGAGAACTACGGACGGAGCCCTAACTGGGCGTAACCGCCCCTCGCTGGCCCGGCCTGACCCGGTGCAGCGGTCGGTGTTCGGGGCCCAGCGGTCGGGTCGGTGACGCGGCACACACGCGATCACTTTCCCCCGGCAGAAAGGAGCGGCGCCGGCGCTGACGTCTGAATAATCGGCACCACCACCGGGCCACTGTGTGCTCGACCCCCGGCCAGCCTCGTGACCTTTACGAGGAGGAGGTGGGCGGCGCCGGCGCCGAGCGGCAGCAGCCTCTGATGATGGAGCGAGTGCGTGCGTGCAGTGCGTGCTCGCCGCGGGGGGAGACAGTTAACTCGTCACGTTCTCTTCCAAATGTCGCCCTGCTCTTACTCCGTCATTCATCTCCTTTTCACACCTCTCCCTCTAGTCTAGCCGTAGCCGTGGTACCTCGCGTGGTACCCATGAAGCCGACAAGATGTCCGCCATGGTCGCACTCACCGAGTGGTACGCGGCCGGGTGGGCCGGGTACGCCGTGTGGTAGCCGGCGTCCACCCCGTGCGGCGGGCCGTGGCTGCCGTGGCGGTGCCAGCCGCCGTAGGCCTGCAAACACAAGACAAGGAGGTCTCTGGAGTTGGAGCATAATTGTTGTTGAGAGAAAATTTATGGCCGGTGGTTGTGATTCCACCGCTACTCGTGGAAAGTGAGGCTGTCGCCAAAGACTTGCGGCTGCTTTTGCATCACTTTACGAGGAGACGCAATCCGACGCGTCGCCCTCGTCTGGCGGGGCGGGCGCCTGCCAACTGCTCGGTAGGCAACCCGCTGCCCACAGCTGTCCGTGAGAAGCTGGGTTTGCCTACCTGGCCCTGCGGGCGAGGGGAGGGCGCCTGCCAACTGCTGGATAGGCAACCCGCCGTCCACAGCTGTCCGTGAGAAGCTGGGTTTGCCTACCTGGCCCGGCGGTCGGCGAGGGCGCCTGCCAACTGCTGGATAGGCAACTCGCTGCCCTCCGCTGTCCGTCCCCGGTGGGGGTTGCCTACCCGGCGGGCTGGCGGGGTCCCCGCGCTGGCTGTCGGTCGGGGTCGGGTCTCACCTGCTTGTCGGCGTGCACGTGGACGTGCACCTCCTTGTGGTGGGCGGGCGGCGGCGGCGAGTAGTAGACGGGCGGGCCGTGGTGCGCGGTGAGCGCGCTCAGCTTGTGCTTGGCGAAGCTGCTCACGGCCAGCACGAACAGGATGCTGATCATGAACATGGACTTGAGCGCGATGAACACGAGCACGCCCAGGAGAGTCGTGCCCACGCCCATCTTGTACATGATGGGCAGCAGCGCCATCGTGAGCCGCCTTCGCGCACCGAAGCCCCACGTCCGGCTGCCTGCAGAAGAAGAAAACGAAAAAGGGGCATAAATATTTGCCATCTTTAGAAGGATATTATTTTTGATTGACGAGATCATTATTGCTGAGTAGAGTGACCCAATATTGTACGATGTGACAATAATTATATTTGTAATTACAATTCATAGCCATGACGAAGGCAGTTCACCTGCTTCGTCAACAAACACACACTTCTCGAGGTATTCTCGAGCAACCCTCTCCGCGCAGAGAACCGGAACGGAAGTCTGGTCGCACCTTGCGGTCCCCCCTGCCCACACTTGGGCCGCACATTCACACCTTTCTCCCTCTCTCTGTGTCTCTGCTGAGGTGTGTTTGGGCCTGTTGGCGTACAACAAACTATCCCTCATCGACAATTGTTCCACTTTGCCCAAGAAAGTACTTTCAAAAGGGAATTCCTTTATTATTACACAGATCGCTTCAACTGACCATACTAATTTTTAATTAATTCCATGAGTGCACGCCGCGGCCGGGGCTCGGGGCCGCCTCACCTACCCACGCTCCTGATACGAGCCCGGCGGCGCCCCGAATACGGCGGCGGGCGTGATCGCACATTCCACATCCACGTTTGGGCTGCATTGTTAGCGTGGGGTGGGCGAGTTGCTCATGCTGCTCATCATCGTGCAGGTCGGGCCCGCCTGCCCAGCGGCCTTGCGAGAGCGGAGGAGGAGGAGGGCTCCTCGTACTTCCGGACCACCGCGCCCATATCGCTACGCCCCGTACAACCATTGGGGTCAGCAGCAGCCAAACAAGGCCCGGGCGGCAGCCTGAGAAGAAAGCAAAAGCGGCACGGAAAATGTAAAATGGGTGAGAGAAGGCGTGGGCGTCGCGGAGGGCGCTGCAAGTCGCGTGGCTCGCATTACTCTCCCTAGCCGCTCAGAAGGCGACTGGGGCCTTCCCTTGTCATGGAGATGCTTGAACAGTGCCCGGCGCTTGTCCGGCGCCCAAACGGCCGCACTGCCGCACTCCGCACTCCAGCTCACAGCCTGTCCCGCTTTACCACTGACAAATGGGGTGGCCGTTTTACGAACCGGTAGGACTTCCCGACAAGCAGCTAATAGGCGTTGTAGTGTTAGTTATTATTAGTTTTTTTGCGCACGGGCGGTGTGCCAGACTGCGCTCAGTTACTGGCTGTAACCCCCCCCCCTCTCGCACACATGCACTACTCGGGACGAGACAAGCTCCTTCTCTGTCTCTCTCTCCGTCTCTCTCTCTGTCTCGCTCTTTCTCTCTGACACAGCGTGACTGGACTTATATTTGCCCCACCTGCTAGGGCGATCAGCCCCCCGACGCGTTGGGACAAAAGCAATCAGGCAGGCGCCTGTGGGATGAAATAGAGAAGGCTCCCTAGAAGCGGGCTCTCACTAATAAGGGGCATTTAATTAAGAAAAAAAAATACTTATTGATTTTTTGGGTTTCCAACCCTCCGAGATAGTTTCAAAAATTGATTCAATTTTTAAGAAGATAAGGAATAGGAGGTACCGCCCGCCCTCTTTCACACCCTCTCTCATTCTTTCGACGGGTCGAGCAGCGTGTAGCGCCCGGAGGACCCCCGGCCCGCCCCCCGATAGAGATCGATCTTGATTCTCGTTCATAGTATTTTCTTGGCAGAAAGAGAGAGAAAGGAAAAGAGACGGAAGTCGGAGGTTCATAAATTCCCCCTCCCCCTCTTTCCCTGTGATTCCATCGACAACCATCCCTTTTGCGGCGCGGCATGAGTTTGTTCAGGGTAAATAATACGGCCGAAACGAAAGTTCTTAAAACTCATATACCAGCCCTAAAAGCTCCAGGACACCCCCCCTACAGTTTGAACTTTAGTGGAAGAACAAATAATTACACCCTGGCTTCTCTCGAAAACATCTGGTACACGTAGCGGTTCCAATTAATCATGTCGACAAAAGTCCGTTGAAACGGAATACTCGTCTTGGAGCCGACCCGGCAGTGTGGTCCTCCGGTCCTCCAATCCCGACGGGTCGGTCAAGCGAGGCCCGTTCGTCCGGTCATCCGGGTGTCCTGTCCCCTGTCCTGTGGACCGGTGGTGTCCTCCGTGTCCCCCCGTTGTAATGACGCCCTGTATAACGACTGGGGCACGGGCCGCCGCTCCCCGCCGCCTCAGCTGTCAGCTCACCTCAACCAAAAGTCCGGCAGCGAGTCCCAGCGCACCAACGACTAATACCCGTATGATTTTCAATTTCTTTTTTTTTTCTTTTTCCATTCTGTGCGGGCCGCGTGGCCGTGTCGGATCTGTATGCGGCGTCCAGTCACGGGGCCGAATTAACAGACAAAGTCATAGTCGACCGAAATGACTTCGGTGCGTTATTACGGGTGGCGTTCGGACGCACCGCCAGCGGTATCACACGCCTGCCGCCCCGGGGGCGGTCCCCGCGCCACGCCACGCCACGCGCTTTCACCCGCCCATGCCCAGCCCGGAGCGACTTATTACGGTAATGATTATCGGGACTAGATATTATTATTATTCTCATCATTATTCGTACCTCCCTTCCCCCTTCAGCTATGGGCCCACTACCGTACCTCCATAGGTGGCGACCTGCCACACCTCTAAGTAAGTCCAAGTCCAGCCGCTTCATATTGATTTTAACATGGGAAAGATCAGAAAAAAATCAGTGAGTTTGTTCCTTTCATACTTTCCCGTTTTGGACGGCCTTAAACATTACCGGGTGTATCTTTGAACGTCCTCCAGTACTGTCCGCTGGGTTTGCCTACTCCCTTAGTCCTAGATTCGTACGTCAGGTGCCATGACCTTTGTTGCCCGCAACATTGCGGGCATTCAAAGGTACACCCGGTTTACACACGACGTGAGGACATCTCGGTTTGGGTCAGCACGGCCCTTGCTGCGAGGCCCTGGCTGGCGGTGGGAGTGGGAGGCGCCACCCGGGACCCGGGACCCGGTCCGGGCGGCATCGCAGTGACGGAAAATAAGCGGACAGACGGTGAAAATGGGTGGAGGCGAGGCTGAAGGTTTGGAGGCGCGCGGCGCGGTGTGGCGGCGCTGCTGAGACAATAGTGCAAAGTGGCGGGAGAGGGCCGCGCTGGCCGCGCTGGTGTCGCTGGCGGGGCGCGCGCCAACGGTGCAGCAGTCGGCAGGTGCGCGGGACCCACCAAAGGCCCTTCTCTTCCTTCCCAGAGGTGCCGACCAGTTTAGGGCCTCTCGCTCTACCCCGCCTACCCTTCCCCTCCCGCCCCATCCCGCCCGCCCGAGGGCATTCCTTTTCCCCCGCGTGCGCAAAATCTGGGTCTCGCCGCGGCGAAAACGACGACGAGGGAGGTTATTATTTGCGTTGTGACGGTCCAAGACAAGAACGAAAACGGGGTGACGATATTAATAACAATAAAAATGAAAGCGTGCCGCCTGGACCAATGCCATTATCATCCTGGCTGAAGTTTTCTTTCTTGTTGTTTTTCGCTCTCCTTTTGCGGTGTGATTGGTATTCCCCCCTCGCTTTGCAGCCTGATAACACCCATTACAGCGCTGCTGGAGTCGGGCAGATCCGGGCCGCTCGCGGTTTAAACGGGCAAACACAATAAGAGCGCAAGCAAGCACTCGGTTCGGATCTCCTCATCAAAGAGAAACAATAGGGGGTCGAGTCGAGCCGAGTCGGGCCGAGCCGGCGCGCGCGAACGTGTCCGTAGGGGAGTCGGGCCCGCTGCCTCCTCTCGCCCCGCCCCGCACCGCCCGGATCCCGTTGCCGAGTAGCCCAAGTTAACGCGTCGGACCAAACACCTTTCCTATCACCTCCAGGCCAATCGTCGGCCGCCTCGTGATCCATAGGTCACGAGCGCATTATTACCAATCGAGCAGTAGACTGGTTCAGGGAGGGAGAGAGGGGAGAGGGGATACGGGATGCGCACTCTACCTGCGTCGGGAGGGATCTCCACGGCGGCGTCCATGCCCTCGTCGATGTCCCTGAAGATCTTGATGTGCATCATGCCGGGCCAGAGCTTCCAGACCAGGGCGTGCGTCTCGAACACCTTGATGGCGGTGGAGGCGAGCGTGGGCAGGCCGGCCTCGTTAAGGCTCGTCGCCATCCTGTCGACGTCCACGCCCTCGTCGCGCTCGCGGGGACGTATCCTCTCCACGGAGATGCGGGAGGACACGTTGAACTGGTCGGCGCCCAGGATGCCGGCCAGGCTGTCGGCGAGGTCGGCGCGCACGCACGACCACGTGCTGGAGCATCGGGCGGCGGGGGTGTCGGCGAAGTCATCGACCCGCCGGAGAGCGGCGTCGTCGGCGTACTGCAGGGCGGCGTCGTCCACATAGTTGATGCCCGCCTCGGCGTCGAGCAGAAGGGCGTCATCGGCGCGCCTCCAGGGCGGTGCGTCGTAGGGGCCGCGGTTGAGCGCGCCGCCGGCGGCCTGCGCCAGCAGCAGCACCGCACACGTCCACGCCACAGCGGCCATGGCCAGACTGTGGCCGGGGCATCGGGGCGTCAGCCGCGTCCGCGACCCGGGGCCGGCAACGCCGGCCTCCAAAGGCGCCGTCGTCCAACGGCGTCCAACGGCGGGGACAGCCGGGCCAACCGGGGTCACGGGCCGGGCACGTCCGTGGCGGGGTGCAGTGCCAAGGCGGCCGCGCACGCACACACGCACGCACGCACGCACGAACGGCACGCACGCCACCCACGCCCGCCCGCCGGGCGGAGCGAACGCACACACTCACACACAACACGCCAACAAGGACGCGACCAACGCGCCGACGCGGCTCCGCGACGCCACGAGGAGATGCGCAACGCCACGAGGAGCTTCGCGATGCGCGGCGCGAGACTTGGCGGTGCTTGGCGGCGCTGCGGGGCCGTGGATGACCGGGCGGGGCTCCGGACGGTGTCAGAGTGCGGAGCTGTGCGGAGCGGCGAGCGCTGGGCCCGGCCCGGCCCGGCCCGGCTGGCCTGCTGCAGGGGCCCCTGCTGCTGCTGCTGCTGCTGGCCCCAGCAGGTGGAGCAGGCGCGAGGAGGAGGGGGGCTGGATCGGTGAAGGGGCCGGGGGAGCGGAAGAGGAGCGGTTCAAGTGAGGCAGGGTGGGCGCGCGTCTGGCGGGTGACACAACCGCGTCGGATAGTGCAGAGAGCCTCTCCATGGGAACCCGAACCTGCTGAACTACATGAGCGAGCGTGTGACCTGGACACACATCCCAGCTACCCCGCCCCTTCCTGACCACCCCCCCCCCAAAAAAAAAGGAGAGCAAAGGCTTTAAATGAGACGTTCTCGTGGTGGAGCGGGCCTCTTCTCTTCACTTACGACCTCCGCGCACCTCATAATTGTATTCTGTCGTCCGGCCGGCTGGTCCGTCCGTTTCCCGCCCGCCCGCAGCCTCACTCGTCGTACAAGTTAATCATTTGGAGAACCGTTTTGTTTCGGGCAGAGAGAGAAGAAAATAGAACCATCATTGCCGTTGTATGGGTCTCTTTCCTTTCTCTGTCATGTTGTTTGCCGTCGTCCTGCCACTACTACGGTTGTTGCTTCTGTTGCTGCTGTTGCTGCTGTTCTTGTTGTTATTGTTATTATCGCAAGGCTGTTGCTTCTGTTCTTTCGCGCGTCGAGGAGAACCGACACGAACGCGGGCCAACAACGGAACAGGTCGCACCGAAAGAAAGTAATAAGCGGGCCCGTCTGTGGGTCCTGCCCGGCCCGGCGCGGCCCGTCCGGTCTGGTTCGTGACGCACGCGGCACGTGCGATCAGTGTCGCGTTGTCACGTCCGCGTCGGCGGCCCGCGGGGCATTAGAGAGGCGGCTCCCGCGGGGCCCGCGGGGGGCCTCCTAAGGCGGCCCGCGAAGCCCTCGGCGACGAAAGCGTGCGCAGCCCTCTGCGCCCCGCCACCACACCAGGGCGTCGCCCTCGGGGGTGCGAAATATACAAGCTGCTCGTAAAATTGCTTATGGAGCGCTTTATTTGATTAGATATTTGAGGAGCATGGTCTATGAACGGTTTATTGTGTGTCGCAGCGCCACGGGTGTAAAACAGGTTTTAGACGAGGGACATGGCGCCTTTCCAGAGTTCTTGCCGTGGCCGCACTGCCTTCCTGGAAAGTAATCAAGGTTTTTAACGGCGTCGTTGAGAGTGCTAAAATCAACGCCCCCAAACGTACCCTGCCCCCCTGGAAGCCGGTGACTGCCCGCGTGCCGGCTTCGCTCCTGGACCTGGAGCTCCCTGCAGCGTTGCGTCGTGCCGTCATGTCATGGGGCCCAAGTCCGCCTGCGGCTCTGTGCCGACCTTGCCGCGGGTGACTTTCTCTCAGGTGAATAATAGGCATCTCAGTCGCACCTGAACCTGAAAGTGATCGTGGAGTTTCAATATCTGAGGCAGGCCAGCTGGAGCCTCCAGTCACTTGTTAGCGGCAGGACAACAAGCAGCAGCGCTCGCTGGGGAGAGAAAAGGTGAAGGGCATCGTCACAGTCAACGAGGAGAGAGGGAACGAGGTACGAGATTTACTTTTAAATATCTACCTTAAAGGGGATAAAAGTTACGATGAATTTTAAGAACTCCATCGAGATCAACTGCAGTTTTAACTTCTGTTGTGTTTTTCTCGGTTTGGATTCGGACAGAGAGACAACGCGAGAAGACGCGGCAAGTACAGTTGAGATTTGTAAATCAATCATGTTTAGAAGAGAAGATAGCGCCCGGTGGGTAGGCAACTCTCGTTATTCGATAAAGAGGAGCTGAGCGCGATGCCTACCCTAGAGTCGGCAGGGGTCCCGCGCGCTGCTGAAGTCAAGCGTTTCGGTTTACTCATTTCGTTCCTCCCTTCTTTCTTCTGATAGGAGAAAGAAACTGTTCTTGCAAAATTAATAGCGACTTTCAGATTTTAAAATTTGAGTAGAGCTGGGACTTTACATCACTTCTACTAAATTCAAAATGTAGTCCTCCCAGAGAGAGAGAGACTTCAACGCCAGAATGACGTCCAAAAAAAGAAAAAAAAAAGCCCTTGTATGGACTGGAGTAGGATGACACGAAGAAATGTCTTTTCCTGCTCGACCGTTTACGTATGCGCTGTGGAGGCTCTGCCTTCAGATTGTTGACGCTTAAAGAAGTGCTGCCTTAATTGAGATAGTTAACCAGCAGGCGGCATCTGTCACGACCGCCTCCCTCCCACCCCGCTCGACTCTTTCCCCTTCCCCTGGATGAGCTTCCCTCGCCTTCCCTACCGCACGTCAGTTCCGTGTCCCGCCGGTAGGGGCCGCCAGGCACTGCAGACTCTATACGACCACCTCCAACGACTCCTTCTCCTCCTACCGGGCGGTTGCCTGCCCGCCCGCCCGTCAGGCGGGTCGAATGGGTGGCCTGCCCGCACGGCGCACCTGAAGGGCCTGATGGGTGGTCTACTTGCACGGGGCAGCACTCTCCGCTTCTGTCAACGTTCGGGTAGTTCAGGTTTTGTTTAATTCATTGAACTTTGGAAATCACTTTTGCCTCAATTTTAGACAACGCCTTGTGGCTGTCGCTCATCGCAAATAAAAGTTACCAATTCCGATAAAGGTTGTCGATTAACGTCCCAATTTTGATAAGCCGATGATTGCCGTTGAAGCGTTGATTCCTTCTCCTTGACTCGCCCTTCCTGTTTGTGTCAAAGGTGAGACCGTTCGGCGTGCGTTCCGTTTTTCAGAGTAGCTGCTCTGTGCCATTTGCATTGTAAGGTTGATCTTGTTAACCTTTTCCGTACAACGCAACTTTCAACCCCACCTCTTTGGTCTATAATGGCCTCACACCCTGCATGGTGTAGGCTACCCCCTCCCTTGAGTGCACCCCTCCGTCTTCATCGGGAAACGGAACAATAATTTCAAAAATCGACATCATAACCAGAAAACGATCACAAACAGTACCAGACAACGAACGGTTTTGTCGGCCAAGTTGCGTTGCCCTAATTTTTCTCCTCCTCTTCCCAAGTTGGCTGACCCGGGTGGGAGGAGCAACAGGCCCGGTCAGAGCCACGGCACGGCCTGGCCGGGGGGCCCGCCACTCTTCTGCCATCGTTGAGCGATGGGCCGTGAACCGCGGCATGAAAGTTAAAGGGCCGGCGGCGTCTCTGCTAGCCGCGCTTGGCGCGCCCTTTTATCCGCAATTAACGCGATTACTTTTACCCGGGGGGGCATTAAACTTTTGGGACCTGCAAAGGGGAGAGACAGGCGGAATGTGGTCTAGAATTTCAATGGAGTTTTAACGGAGTGCGGCCCCGCTTAAGCTCGGCCGTGGCAAAGCTCCAGGGCGGCGGGCCGCCTCACATTCGCACACGACGTCGCCTCCCATTTGCATCTCCCTCTCCCGGGACCTAACTGTTAACCGGGAGACGGGCGGCAGCGCGCGGAGGCGGGAGGAGGTGCGGGTGTTGTGGGCGGAGGAGAGGATCGGATCGCTCTGGCCGCGGAATGACCGCGGAACGAAATAAATACGTCGTGCCTCCTCCATCGTCTTTTCCTTTTCCTTCCTTCCTTTCCGGGGGGCGGCGCAAGTGGGCCACTGGGTCAGGGTCGGGGTGACTGCCGCCCTCTTGGCCTTGCATTCCTCT